AATGTTCTTTTTAGCAGCATCATATGACCCCCTTAAGACCTGGGACAGTCTTGCGCACTTACTTCCTGTCACGCACACGCGCTCTCAAGTGGCCAAGACCGCAAGTGTGGGTATTTGGACAAGGGGTAAGTGTAGTCCAGCTATTCATTCACGATCTTGCAGTTAACCTTGTCATGTGACGGCATTAAAAACAGAGAGCATCACATGACTAGCATTCCTTAATGCTATATCACAGCTGATACTTTAACCCCGCCACCTCCAATAAAAAGAGTTGCTGGCTGCGGCGAGAGAGAGAGAGGTCTCTTTGGCACCATTTCTATCCCATCAGAGCTCAGTCCAAATCCTCTCGGCCTGATCAACAAAGGCTTCTTTGTGGAGCTGTTCATGACCCGCTTCTGCATCACGACCAAACACCCCAAACCTGACCACCAACCCTGCCTACTAAAAACAAATGGGAAGCCCTGTTTCTTATTCAATGTATTAAGGACACAATTCAGTATACACAATGGGAGAGAACACAGTTGATAATATGAAGTAACGTTTGCTAATGTTTGGAGATGGTAAGGTTGTTAAAAGTCTCTTATGCTTATCAAGGTTGCATTTATTTGATCAAAAATGCAATTAAAAGCAGTAACACTGAAAATACGATTTACATTTAAAATAACCGTTTTCTATATTAATACATTTTAAAATAGAATTTATTTCTGTCAAGGCAAAGCTGAATTTTCAGCATCATTACTCCAGTCTTCAGTGTGACATGATCCTTCAGAAATCATTCTTTCTAATATGCTAATTTGGTGAAGAAACATTTCTTTCTTTTAGCAATGTTAAAAAAAAAAGCTGTTCTGCTTAATATTTTGCAGAAACTGAGATACATTTTTTCAGGATTCTTTGATTAATAGAAAGTAAAAAAGAACAGTGGTTATTTAAAACAGAACTCTATTGTAACATTATAAATGTCACTGATCACTTATAAAACGGATAGTTCCGGTCCTTGATTCTGATTGGTTGTAAATTACACTACAAACATACACCTTTGTTTACTTCTGTGCTGCTTGGCAACCACTATGTTGGAACCACAACTGATTCTGAGGAACTACATTGTTTGGTCGAAGAATACGGTTTTTATTGATTTCATTACTTTATTTGTTCTTTTTTGATTCTGTGAAACCTTACTACGTATATGGAATAACCGTTTAATAAAAGCAATAAGCCCCGTGAAGCTGTGGTTTACAGTGAATTTATAACAGCTAAGGGGGTTTTCTAACAACGCCCCTTAGCTGTTATTCACTGTAAACCATGCCTTCTTGGGGCTTATTGCTTTATTTTATGCATCCTTGTGGAATAAAAGAATACATTTCTCGCTCTTTAAAAAAAAAAAAAAAACGAAATTGTAACTCAATTACTCAAGAAAATAGACGTGTGCATTAAGGAATTAAGTGGATGTCAGATTTTGAACAGTCCATTTAATTGGCCAAGCTAGCTCATTCATTTTAAAATATCACAATACTGGCCGGACTGTAATATAAATGCATATCTGTCAATCCAACATTTCATAAACAGAACTGTTTTCATATACATATGTATCGAGTTCTTTGTTTTGGCCAATTTCTAGCCCACTTCTTCAGAAAACTCTTTTTATCAAATTTAGCATAAACTGTACAGCTTACAGAGGCATTACTGTTCAGCAGCCTCATGAAAAACATCAAGACAACAAGATTTATTTTCCAATCTTCACCCTGAGAGCAGTTATGGAGCCCCAAATCAAATAAAAGAGGCTAAGCTGAAAACAGCAGGTTCAGGTTTTCATTTCCTCTGGTCTCCTGGAAGAACAAACCTTGAGCGAGTCCACCAGATCCTCCACCAGGAAGAGTCGTCGCAGCTCCTTAATCACACAGTTGATGTGCACCAGAGTCGTGTCACTGTACTTATGAACCAACTCCGAAGAGATCCCGATATCTTTATCCAGATACATCCTGTAGGAAGAGAACCTAGAGAGTTAGCAACTAGTGATGGGTGCTTTTGAAACACTGCTTCGTGAAACTTTGAAACCTGTGAATCATTTGTTTTAAACCAGCGACCAAGCATGTATTAAACTGCCAAAATCGCATGATTTAGTAAACAGTAGACGAGGCTTCATTACGTTTATTACAAGGCTTCAGTAAACAACGTTTCATTGCAAAATTTCAATGATTCGCTGCTAGAGAGCGATCTCCGGACCCATGAACTAGTCTCTATATTAGAGATGCACCGATTGCAATTTTCTTGGCTGATTCCGATTTCCTTGTTAGTGTGATCTGCCGATACCGATTTTTGCCGATTCCGATTTTCTTTAAGAACTATAATTGACAGCATATACAAACAAAAATCTACTTTTCTTCAACGCAAAGTTTTATTTTCATAAAAAAAGCAAGTCAAAAGTCAGTAATAAAATAACACAAAAAAAATGTGCAAACAACAGCACAAATAAAAGCAATAGAATAAAGAGCTATGAAACGAAGTTTTTCAGGTTAAGTAAGTTTTTATTCAGGTAAGAAATACTACAGAAATTAAAGTAATCAAATGTAAATATTTACTTTAATATTTACAATGAAGACTACAGAAATTAAATACAGACTAATGCTTACCATTAAAGTTATAAAACGTATTCAGTCAAGAGCAGAAAGTGATTTTCTTTGTCTTTTGTTCTTTGATTAACATGACAGACAGCAGCAGGAATATTGGACTGCGGTCCCTTTAAGAGTTTATCCACGGACCCAATATATAGGGCCTGTTTACACCTGGTCATTTCATGCGTTTTCACTGATTGGATATCTATCTGATTTCTTAAAACGTTTCCATTTACACTTGGCCACATAAATGTGTCGTGGCAAAATGGATATAAATCTGTTCTTCAATTCCCGCATTCTATTTAAATTGAACAGTTCACGTCAACGAAATCAAAAGATAAGCGCTGCATTTTATTAATTATCAGCTCATTTCAAGATCAAAGACCGCAATAAGAGAGCGCGCGGCATCAGCACTGGAAAGATAAGTTTGTCTTACTACTTTTAATGAAGATGATTGTGTGTTGCCCCGTCTGTGTCTTACTTTCAGTTTCATTCGTGGCGGCTTGCTGAAGAGATATACTCAGCTACTCGTTTGCAGAGATGCGTGTTGCATTAGCGCAGTCTGACTAATGGCATATAGCCTATAACACGCTCTCACACATTTATTATTTTATCATTTTGGGAGGAGTAAAATTTACATATGTGGTTTCAACAACCAGATGCATTTACAAATGCGGCCCAGACCACCTCCTGAAGTGGTTTGAGCGATCAGATTTATATCCGTCTCGAATGCGTCTCGGAGGGCATTTACACCTGGTCTTTTCATGATCTGATAGCTATCCGATCAGAAAAAAAACGCATGACGTGACCAGGTGTAAACAGGTCCATGTTACACAACATGTGTTCTCTTTCTCAACTATTTAACGTTTCAAAACTGACCGTGTTTAACTGGATACTTGCCAAGACGAGCATTTTGACAATTTTGTATGTATTTGAATGTTTTAGCGCAGTTAGCCACTCATTTTGGTATTTGTGGCTCACAAGCTGTTTGAGACTGAGTGTGGCTTGTGTGCGCTCCACTAATATAGATCAGTGGTGGTGCACGCTTTTGGTGTAAGCGCGAAACCTGCGGGAATGACTAAAATAATGCACGATACAAGCATTTAACCGGAGCGAATGAGACGTGTGAGAGAGAAGGAGTCCTCGGAGAGAAGAGAGTGAGAATGCGTTGTCCTATAAAAAGATATATTTTATACACACAAATCAATGTTTTAAATATTGCTTAAATGTTTAAATTCAGCAACTTCGTTAAAAATATATATTTTATATACACACTCTCTATATAAAATATTTTTCAAAAAATAATATACATTGCTGAATTTAAACACTTGTCATTGAATTGTATTTTAGTTCATACACACACACATTATATATATATATACATATGAATATTAGAGAGAGAGAGAGAGAGAGAGAGAGAGACAAAACCTCTAAAAACATTACTTTATACAACTTTGCTGAATGTAAACACTATTATTTAATTCTTATAATGTATTTAATTCATAAAATAATTGTATAGTAATTCTGCACAGTAATTTAACTCAATTCCTTTTCATTATAATATTCATTGCAAGCAGAAATATAAAACCAACTTTTGGTTTCATACAGTTTTAGGTACTTCAGTTAAATGTCCAATCAGGCAATTATTAACCAATTCTGATCTCAAAATTGCCAACATTAATCATTGAATCAGACCTGCCAAAATAATGCTCTACCAATACCTGGCCTTCTTCATTTCGAAATATGTTGATTGCACACAAATGCAGAAATGCTTTAATAACTGTCAAGTATTAAAACACTAGTTTTCTTAGTAGAGGCTTAGACCGAATACAGATTTGAATCAGAAAGTGATGTGCAAGTAAACGTGCTCAGTTTTTAATAAATATGTGGAAATCTGCTGGTGGCTTCCCAGATGAGGATATGGAACAGATTATTTCAATATACAAATTATTTGTGACCACAATGAACACCAAAACTCCTTTCAGAAACAGAAAATAACTCCACCATCATGTTGAATTCTGACTTTACTAGTCTGTTAATGCAGAGGGAGGATAAAAATAGGACAGAAACCTCCCAGCCAGTCAAGGACCCTTCAATCATTAAACCTAATCTACAAAATGTGCCAATATGTCTGATCAGAGTTCATGGCAAACAAACATGCTATATATATATATATATATATATATATATAATAAATAAATAAATCATCAATCAAATAAATAAATAAATATATACGAGTTAGTTCTGCCCTCAAACCTTTTAACAGTAGTGTATATTAAATGTTTATCATTAATTGTCACTGCAGCAAAAATACCTACAATAACTATATATTAGCCTACTCGGGGAAGCCTAGAAACGTGAAGAAGAAAAAAAAAATGATAACCAGCCATTTTATAACTTTTACATAAAATTGGCTAAAAATGTTATAATTCAACTGGAACTCATGAAAGGCAAAAAGGTGACTCTTGACCCAAAACGGCCATATTCGATCCTAAAGTCAGGCACTGTAGGTGTGTCTATCCAGGAAACCCTTTCATAAGCCAGCATTCAGGGTTCACAAAAGTTTAGCATAGACGTCACCCTTCATTAAATGTTCCCAGCTTGATTTCATTGCCACAATCAGTGCCAACTTGCATAAACAATTTAAACAGCACTGCCTCCCCTTCCGAGAATCTGAGAAGAGCTACAAGACAAAGTGCTTAATGATGCCAACACAAAAAAATATCTACTTATAAACAATACATTGCTCCTCATATTGCCTCGACTCCTCAAGTTGTGGTAAATAGTTTGACACGCTGCATCATATTCATTAACTTCTTTCAAAAATGCACTGAATTCAGAATATGCAGTCAGTACAACATTCTGTGCCACAAACAGGCAGTTTGCCAAGAGAACTCTCTAGCAGAGGGATAAATGCTTGCCGCTGCAATATGCTTTGTAATCAAGACACCCCAGACCATTTACTCAGCGCAACTAGAACATTCTCTCCCACGAGCACCTTTGCAAGCAAGACCTCAAAACTGAGCAAAACTTACTCACAGCTTTACCCAATAACATTTATGGACAAAGCAAGCAGAACAATGGTCTCCTAAGTCCATTTTCAGGCTTTTTAGGGCAAAACAAGCATGTACCCTGTTCTTTCCAGTGCTTTATCTCCATCCCGGAGGTTGTCATAGAAGGCGTGTTGTCTGAATTGGCGTGCATCGGTCATACATTCCAGTCAAAGGTCTGCAGAAGAGGTGGTCGGGGGTGAGGAAGGAGGCACGAGTCTCTGGCTGGGGCAGGACAGGACTGAAGGGTAGAGACTGAGACGCTAGGGCTCTCCTAGCAGAGCTGCCTGATCACGTTCTGCAAAGGCCAGCACTGCTGAGGTCAGCTGACCACATTCAAAGGTGTTGAACGCCGTGTACTAGTAACATGAGGTTTTAGCACAACATCAGCTGGGTCGCTGTACAATCCGGGCACCGTTTGAGTAATACACTTACAGTTAATTCTTCTAAATGCATTATCAAAAATAACTTAATGTGGATGCCTTTTGGCCTGTCCTCAGTGTTCCTATGAGCAATTGCAGACATTCTGAGTAAACAGAAATAAAAATGAGAATATTTTAGGTTTTTTTACAGAAACAAGCACCAAAATTCTTATTATTAACTAATAACTAACTGGATTTGTCTTAATTGTGTAATTAATTAAAAGTGAAAAAACTAAAAGCTAATTTTAAATGTTAATAATAACAACACGGTTAATTAACATACATACATACATGCATGCATGCATACATACGCCTTATTAGCACAAGGCTTGTTGGATCAAATTTAGCATTACATTATTTATTGTTACCATTAACTTTGTTGGGGCAAATTATGAAAAGTGAACATTTTAAAAATCAAAATGACACAATGCTATTTATTAATACTTTAACATTTATCTGAAAAAATATATATTTGAAACTTTAAAAAAAAAAAAATTATCAAAACGGAAAATGCACTTTTCATAATGACCTACCTACAATTCACTTATGAAGCTGGTGTGTGCAAAGTCTTGGTTTAGTATGACATTAAGAAAAATGGGCATTTTACTGCTTTAGGTAACAGGTTAGTGTTCAGACACGGTCTGTAATGATTATGAAAGGCATGAATGTCTAATGAATGATTTATGAAGTCCATTGTGACTACGGGTTATTGCGTTTTCCTCAATGTCAATGACACTTCTGAGTAAACTCGGGTCACTTAACTAAACTGCCTTTATTTACAATAGGGAGGTGACCATTAAGTATGTGGAGCTGAATTAAAAACAGTTTTATACAAAGACACATTAATTAAAAAAAACATTTTTTTTTTTTATTCTAATAAAAACAGTTTGACAACTAGCACAATTTCGTGGGTTTCTGTATTTTTCGTGTCAGTAACACATACTCCACAAGATGGCAGGAAAGCCATCAAGATGACGTTCAAATTCCCCAATGATCTTCATTTCAAAATGCTGTTCGAAGTATAAACTCGGGTCACTTAACTAAACTGCCTTTATTTACAATAGGGAGGTGACCATTAAGTATGTGGAGCTGAATTAAAAACAGTTTTATACAAAGACACATTAATTAAAAAAAACATTTTTTTTTTATTCTAATAAAAACAGTTTGACAACTAGCACAATTTCGTGGGTTTCTGTATTTTTTGTGTCAGTAACACATACTCCACAAGATGGCAGGAAAGCCATCAAGATGACGTTCAAATTCCCCAATGATCTTCATTTCAAAATGCTGTTCGAAGTTTGCAGTAACGAAGCTGGCAAACATTATTTGTAATCACATTTAGATGAGTCAGTATTTTATAGCAATTTCTAGACTGTAACCAGTTCATAAAGCTTTTTTTCTTAACTCATGCTGCATAAGCATCAGTTAAAACACTTGAGATAAGCCCAAGAAATATGAATCGGAGACTTCAATATAAAGCAGAAACCTCAAACTGTATTACTGCAATTGAAAAGGTAGGTAAAAAGCAAGTCAGTCTTGATTAATGCATGTGTTTTTTTTTAGAACGAGCCGTTTTAGGTAGGCGTGGTTGACTCTTAACTTTTATAAAGAATATCTCTTTGGATTTGAGACTTTCGTCTTTGCAAATTTACAGATCTTCTTTATGCACCAAGAGCTTGTAACACTCCAAAGAGAAAGGAAAAAATTAAATCGCATCATATGACCCCTTTAATACATGTAACGTTAATAATTCAAACGAATCTGACGCCATGTCAGTTGTTCCTGGTGTAACGCTAACATGTGGGGAGTATTAAAAAGAAAAAAGTTGATTATGCTTATTTTAGTTAGTGATCATGCTTACAGATCCTCGATTCAAATTCAAATCAAAATGATAAGTTGCAAATACATAATGTGACGTTACTTACATGAACAACAAGAGTTAGATTGGGATGGCGTGACTCTAGTTTTCTCATCTTTTTCCTCGGATTTCGTCGTTTTTGTTGTTGCGTCTCCAAACGCACAGCTCGGCGCTGGTTTGACAGCTTCTGGTTCTGGTTTAGAGGTGGATGATGGTTCTGGTTCTGGTTCTGTTAAGTCCAGCAGAGGCTCTTCAGTACGTGGCAGTGTGGACCTGTGTCTCTCCAGCGCATCTTTCGCTCCTCCAGCCAGATCTAAGATATCATCGTCGTCTGGAGCTTTAGCATCTGCCTCTCTTTCCGATAAATCATCTGCTTCATCCATCAACGAGTTCTTGTGTTTGTCTGCTCGGTGGTATTCTTCTGCTTCTTCTTCTTCTTCATGCTGAAAGCCATATGAAGGTGTCGTGGAGCTTATACCCGTCTGATCATCCATCGCTAAGAATGATTTCACACCGTTATATACGAGTAACTTTTTCAAAAACGGAGCCTTTTCGATTTGAATATCTGAGAAAATATCTTTGCAAAACTTCAGGTTTCAACACGGGCCTGAAACGCAGAAACGGCGCAACTGTTTGACATAGACGCTTAGTTAGGGGAAGTATATGCAAATTTGGCCAGCTATTTGATTGGCTGAATAGTGAAAGAGGGCGGTTCGGCGACGCCCAAGCACCTCGTTGCGCGCTTAATTAGGGGCGGAGTATGGAAGTTTGTGGGTATTTCATTGGGTGGATGGTGAAAGGGGGCGGGGCAGCCACATGCTTTCTCTTCCTGAGCAGAAATGTGGGAAATGGCTGAGTGATGCAAGCAGTTTTATAATACACAGTGGTTTGAAAATGCACTGATAGCTTGCCTTTATTCTTATATGTAAATAATAGTTGAATGTTCTTAATATTTGCAAAGTGTAGCCATTGTTTCATGAAATCAACTACACATTTGAGGCCATGCAAGCAACACTCTAACTTTGACTATATTCATAACATTATTGTGCGTTGATTGCGAAGTCATTGAATATTGTTTGCGAATACATTTATTCAGATGTTTCAGTGTTTGTCGTTGTATTACAACATAAACTAAACAGACTCGTGTGATCCAATGAATCTGAGTCAAGACTGTCTCTCTTGGATCCTTTATTACCTGTAATAATGTAAAGTGTTTTGTATCAGATCACTTTTATATGATATACTTTGCTGAAAAACTTATTTCACAGAATTTTCTATGCCTTCTGCCCTCTTATTGGTAGTTCATACTTTTTTTTAGCAAGTAAAAGGCCTTTTATAATGTTAATGAACTGTCCCCATTCAGATCGCGGTACACGTGTCTTTTTACTGTGAAATCTCTGATGATTTTTATCTAAATGAATCATTTTTACATTCTTAGTAGGCCCTAATATGGCCCTAATAAACATTTAGTGGACTGAAGCAACTTAGGTTAATTGATTCAACATACAAAAATAAATAAAATGTAAATATCTATACAACAGGCAGTTGTGGGACTTTTATCTGTTTTGTCTCCATCTTCATTGCATTGCATTATATGTTTCGCCCTCCCAAAATAAAAACTACAGGGATTTGATGAAAAATTAAGTATTTAAATATAATCTCACTACAGTAGATTAAGAGATACAGAGTGGAAACTGTTATACTGTTATAAGGATCTAATTGATTTACATTATCAGAAATACATTTGACTTTTTGGCCATATAAATAACAGAAACTGTGGCAAATTTAATATTTCTTAATAAAATTAAGATTTTTTTCCCCCCTCCACAAGTATGAGCTCCATATTCTCACAATATCATATGGGCCATAAAAGCCCATATGACACAAAGCTATGAAATGAAAAATACGAAACAAATCAAAAACATAACATTCTTTTTTACTATTATTATTATTTCATATTTCTTCTCAGGCTTTGGTTACGGCTGTTCTGCTGTGCTCCAGGAAATTCTGAACATTGTGTACTTGGAGCACATACTGTACGTAATGTAAATGTTTTCCTTGTCAAACATGCAGCTGAAAGATCAATCAACAAAGGAATCCAGGTGGATCCAGACTGTGACGAGACATCTAGTAAAATTCCTCATCATTATATATATATAGATATGGCTTGGGTCTCTCCTTTAGTGTGAGTAAAAACTGTAAGTCTCATCACTTGAAAAATGTATAGTGCACTTAAAATCCTTAACAAAAGCAATGATGCAAGTCTTAGCAATTATGGTCAAAAATAGCACAACCTACGAGCTATTGATCATTAGATTTTTAAGTCGTCTTGTTATCTTGTTTTATTGCAGATTGTGGTGAGTCAGTGCATGTCTGCTGGGCAGATGTCATTGTCTGTCCTCTGTGCTGTGAAAAGGAGACAAAGGCAGATTTGAGGGATAGTTTGTCCTCTCCAGATACTGCAGTCTCCATTGTCATCCAGACACCAATGGGGAAGCAAAGTACCAAACCGGTTCTGCAGGATCTTTGTGCTGCGCTGGAGACATGCCCACGTGGGCTGACTAATAACCTGCCCTTTGCTTACTGATTGATTTATCGTAGAGATGTGTGGTGCATATTTTCTAATCTGGCCTGCTAGTTAGTTCTTTCTGATCTTATCTTTTTTTGGGCTTGTGCAAAAGTCAAGTCATAATCCATCTTCTGTAAGAGAAAGGATGCAGGAATATATTTTTCGATCTCAGAATAAAACCATTTTACAGTGAAAAGATTAGCTTGAATCACCTTATTCAAGTTGCTGATTCATGTAGCAGTAATCTTGAAATTCATGACAGTGAGTCAATGTAGTGCAATACTTATTTCCCAGAAAACAGAGTGCTATCATCTTTTAGTCATATACTAAGTAGGGGAAAAGGGAGTCTCCCAGACCTTCCTTTCTTAAACATTCACAAACAATCATCATGATCTTTGATGAGTTAAGGTTCATTGTAATTGTTTATTTTAATAATGTATGTGTTATGTTCTAATTAAGCAATGAAGGTCACCTATAAGTAAGGTCACGCCATATCCTGGATTTAGTGTTTAAATTCCCAACATACTAGAATGGAAAATAAAAATAGGCTTATTAAAGGGATAGTTCACCCAAATTCTATCATCATTAACTCACCACTTTTTCCAAACTTTTATCAGGTTCATTGTAATTGTTTATTTTAATAATGTATGTGTTATGTTCTAACTAAGCAATGAAGGTCACCTATAAGTAAGGTCACACCATATCCTGGATTTAGTGTTTAAATTCCCAACATACTAGAATGGAAAATAAAAATAGGCTTATTAAAGGGATAGTTCACCCAAATTCTATCATCATTAACTCACCACTTTTTCCAAACTTTTATTAGTTTTTTCTTCTTCTGTTGAACACACACACACACACACACACACACACAAAACAGATATTTAGAAGAATGTTGCTAACCAAACAGTTGACGGTAGCCATTGACTTCCATAGTATTTTTCCCATACTTTAGAAGTCAATGGCTACCGTCAACTGTTCAGTTAGCAACATTCTTCAAAATAGCTTGTTTTGTGCTCAACAGAAGAGAGAAACTCATAGAAGTTTGGAACAATTTGATGGGTGAGTAAATGTTGACAGAATTTTAATTTTGGGGTGCACTATCCTTTTAATGACAAATTTCCATGATTTTAAGCAAATCAGTTAAATGTCATCCTTACACTAGTCCCTGAAATGTAAACTGTCAAAAGTAGTATAGGGAGAAAGAGACATCCCACTCATAGAAAACCGATGGATTATTGTGGCTCCTTCTCTCTGTCAAGATGTTTCAAGAGGTTTCTTTGAGAGTAACATTAGTCTTCTTCTGTTCAGGGTGTTTTGCGGGTTTGTTGTTCCAAATATGGAAGAAGAATCTGGCTGGTATTTAACAGTGGAATTTGCAGGGCAATGAACTGTGATCTTCACTTAAAACCCGTCAAGACTCACTTACAGCCGGGGTGTGGCTTCACGTGGCAATGAACAGCATTCACATAAGCAAACAATCACACTGCACAAGCTTATCTTCAACTATTTAATTCTATATAAGACACAAACAACCCAATCATAACATTAGTAATGGCTTAGGGGATTTCACCAGGAACTGCCTTGTTGATAGAAATCAGACTCATTATAATTGCTGAGATGTTACTACACTGAATGTTCATGCATCATATCCTAAATGTAAGATTTATGATGCATGAAGCTCCCAATGAAAAGTAAACAGTGTGTTATAAGCGAAAGAATATTGAAAATGCTGTTATTATTTACTCACTCTCATTCATTTTGTTATTGTTAATTAAAACTAAGTTAAAGCACTGAAAAATACTAAACCTAAAACTGAAATAAAAATGCTACAAAAAATCTTTTGCTAGTGTGTCAGTTTCCAAACATTATTTTTGCCATTAATTGTAATAATCAGTGAGATTGACAACAGCCAGTGCTCCACACAGAGATCTGATCTCACCATCATTTTTTTAAGGGTGGCATAAGAGTCTAAATATTACGCGTGACCATGGTACCTTTAATGCAGACACGTGATTGGCCTGTATTTCCCCACCAAACTCCTCACAGACAACATCATGGCCTACAAGCTCCTCTTTCACGCGTTGGGGGTCGGCTTGAGGTTTATCACATTTATTCACAGCAATGATAATCGGCACTGTAGATCAAAACAGAATTATGATAAATACACAAAATTGATACAATAATGTAATGATAACAATTTGTCACAGATATTATATATATATATATATATATATATACATACTGTATATATATGTATGTACACTACCGGTCCAAAGTTTGGGATCAGTAAGACTTGTAATGTTTTTTAAAGAAGCCTCTTATGCTCATCATGTCTACATTTATTTGATCAAAAATACAGAAAAAAAACAGTAATCTTGCAAAATGTTATTACAATATAAAATAACGGAATTTCCATCAGCCATTACTCCAGTATAAAGTGTCACATGATCCTTAAGAAATCATTCTAATATGCTGATTTATTGATAGAATTATCAATTTTGGCAACAGTTGTGCTGCCAAATATTTTTTTGGAAACTGCGATACTTTTTCAGGATTCTTTGATGAATAAAAAGTTTAAAAGAACAGCATTTAATCAAAATATAAATCTTTTCTAACAATATAAATTTTTGCTATCACTTCTAAACAATTTAACACATCCTTGCTGAATAAAAGTTTGAATTTCTTTCAAAAAAAGAAAGAACAGAAATGTACTGACCCCAAACTTTTGAACTGTAGTGTATATTGTCAGAAAATATTTCTATTTTAAATAAATGCTCTTCTTTTTAACTTTTTATTCATCAAAGAATCCTGAAAAAAAGTATCACAGGTTCCAAAAATATATTAAGCAGCACAACAGTTTCCAGCACTGATAATAAATCAGCATATTAGAATGATTTCTGAAGGATCATGAGACACTGAAGACTGGAGTAATGATGCTGAAAATTCAGCTTTGATCACAGGAATAAATCAATTCTAAATTAAAATAGAAAAACATTATTTTACATCATAATAATATTTCACAATATAAATTTTTTTCCTGTATTTTTGATCAAATAAATGCAGCCTTGATGAGCATAGGAGACTTCTTTAAAAAAACATTAAAAATCGTTCTGATCCCAAACTTTTGACTGGTAGTGTATGTAAAAACAATAAAATAAATATAAAAAACATTTATATTAAATAGGATTGCATTTCTTATAATTGTAATTTCAATCATAATTTATAAACGGCATATTACCTTTGGCTTTTTTGGCATGCTGTATGGACTCAATAGTCTGATTCATCACACCGTCATCAGCTGCAACCACCAGGATGACTATATCAGTGACCATGGCTCCACGAGCACGCATGCCAGAAAACGCTGCATGGCCAGGTGTGTCCAGAAAAGTGATCTTCTCACCTGAGGGCAGCTGAACTGAACAGCAAACAGGCTCGTTTGATCACAAAATTTGCTTACTTGGCACAGAGGATACCAAAAAGAACAGCACATATTACTGGGAAATTATTGCTTGTTTTCAAGAAACCTAGTATTTGTCTTAAGTTGAACCCTCAGAGAGCAAAGCTTTGATATTCATGATGTACTCTTTTTCTCTTTACTCTTCAACATATTTTTTAAGAAGCCATGGGTTATAAAAATCGAAATTTGCATTGGGGTATAATTTGGAAAAAGTGAATATTTTGAACTCACAACACAATTTGAAAAATAACACATTTCAGCCTATAAGGATCCAGTCATTACATTTTATGACCATTTAAATACTAATGAGATAATAATGATGCCTCACTTTATAGCACTGACACCAGTCATGAGGGAGTACATTAACATTGAAAAGATATTAGGATATTACGACAATATTACTCTTAGGACAATATGACTTAACCTGATGGAGGATGCGCTCAGTCATTCAGGCAGTCTCTCTCTCTCTCTCTCTGTCTCTCTGTCTCTCTCTCTCTGTCTCTCTGTCTCTCTGTCTCTCTGTCTCTCTGTCTCTCTCTCTCTGTCTCTCTGTCTCTCTGTCTCTCTCTCTCTCTCTCTCTGTCTCTCTCTCTCTCTGTCTCTCTGTCTCTCTGTCTCTCTCTCTCTGTCTCTCTGTCTCTCTGTCTCTCTGTCTCACTCTCGTTTTATGCCGTTGATCGTCGTCGTCATCCTCAATAAAAAAAAAACATTTCTTCACGCTAGGGTGTCCGCGGTGAATCCAGTGGAGAGAACTCCCCCACCACTAACTGCAAACTGGCATTCAGATCTGCCTCCATTTTGTTAGCAACGCCCCAACTTCCAACGATCCAATCAATTCCCGAAGGACAAAATCAAGTCCCGCCCTCTCATTTCAGATGCCGTTTCACTCGGATATACGTCACAGCAGAGAAGAAAAGACAATCGCAACTTCCGTTTCGTGCCGACTTTAAACTCGCTCTCGCAAATACTTGACGGCTCTAGAAAATAAACATTTATCGTTTTGTTTTGCTTAATTTTAATAAAGTTATAAGACCCGGAGAAAGTCTGCAGTATTTTTATTGCCATATTAAAATGAATCTTAACATAGTCATAGTTAAAAATATAACGCTGTAAAATAAAACGATATACAATTATATGTAAATAATATCTATAATAGTATGAAATGTTTTAATAAGTTGTGTGTTATATTTATGGTTCTTTGGCCGCTGCTTATGCTGTGACTATGCGGTCAGTTAAGCAAGAACGCAGCACATCTCAATTCTCTTAAGGGTGCGTTCTGTGTCCTCGCTTCTTGCAAGGAAGCTTGGCAAGACCGGTCTCCACAAGAACGCAAGTCCGTTCTTTGCGTTCTTGGAATTGAGAAACAGCCTATATCTTTATCGTTATCTTTATAGTTATCGTGCTTGGTGTGAACGGGCCTCAAGTCCGTAAGACCGCAAGTGCACACGAAGTGTTCCATTTGGGACAGGGCCAATGACGAAACAAACTGTATCATTAATTGAATAGGCTCCATTGTGTGACAGCAGCAACAAATTTGAGTACTGATCTCCAGCGTTGCATTTTTGCTACACTTGTGCGTACTTTATAAATAGATCATTTTGTTCCAAAAGTGTTGAGAATTGGGTCTGTGCCATGTGCTATCAACATTTTGTCACTTCAACAAGCAGTGGCAATTACATTCACATTTTTTACAACAAAAACTTGATAAAAATTGAGTGTCAGCTACTGTTTTGGCCGCTGCTTATGCTGTGACTATGCGGTCAGTTAAGCAAGAACGCAGCACATCTCAATTCTCTTAAGGGTGCGTTCTGTGTCCTCGCTTCTTGCAAGGAAGCTTGGCAAGACCGGTCTCCACAAGAACGCAAGTCCGTTCTTTGCGTTCTTGGAATTGAGAAACAGCCTATATCTTTATCGTTATCTTTATAGTTATCGTGCTTGGTGTGAACGGGCCTCAAGTCCGTAAGACCGCAAGTGCACACGAAGTGTTCCATTTGGGACAGGGCCAATGACGAAACAAACTGTATCATTAATTGAATAGGCTCCATTGTGTGACAGCAGCAACAAATTTGAGTACTGATCTCCAGCGTTGCATTTTTGCTACACTTGTGCGTACTTTATAAATAGATCATTTTGTTCCAAAAGCGTTGAGAATTGGGTCTGTGCCATGTGCTATCAACATTTTGTGTCACTTCAACAAGCAGTGGCAATTACATTCACATTTTTTACAACCAAAACTTGATAAAAATTGAGTGTCAGCTACTGTTATGTGAGTTTTTTACTAATATTTAGTGAAAATGAGGTATTATTTGATTGCTTCATACAAATTATATTCTACAATTCTGCTACACCGGGTCTCTGAGGATAAACAAAAAACTGTAAATGGGTGTTCAGTACCTCGAAACGCTCCGATGTGTTGCGTGATTCCCCCCGCCTCCTGCGCAGCGATCTGACTCTTCCTCAGACTGTCCAGCAGGGTGGTCTTCCCATGATCTACATGACCCATGATGGTCACCACTGGAGCTCGAGGAACTAACTGAGCGGGATCTGGGAGAGGTCTGACAACAATTCAAACAGAAATTACAGAAAGGGACAAATGATACATATATAAACTCACTATTAAAATTGTTCTCACTGTCTCTGGATATCTTTGTTTTCTCTGACTTTGGTTTCTACGAGTTTGGCCCATTTGTGTTTCATTCCCGATCTCTTTACAGCTTCTTTTATCCATTTCTCCTCCAGCACTGTGTCGGGCTCCAACTCGTCCAGATCGACATCCGTGTTGAGCAGGGCCTCATAGACACAATCTAAGGATGGAATAGGTATACACTACTGTTATTACCATTTGGGGCCTGTAAGATATTTTATTCTACAGAAATTCATTTTATTCAGCATGGGTGGATGAAAGTGATTAAAAGTGACAGTAAAAAAATAACAGTGCTACAAAAGATGGCTAGTTTCAATAAATGCTGTTATTTTGAACTTTATATTCATCAAAGAATCCTGAAAAAAGCATTGCAGTTTCCACAAAAATATGAAGCAGCACAACTGTTTTCAACATTGATAATAATGAGAAATTTTTCTTGAGCAGCAAATCAGAATGATTTCTGAAGGATCGTGTGACTCTGAAAACTGGAGTAATGATGCTGAAAATTCAGCTTTGATCACAGGAATAAATTACATTTTAAAATATATTCAAATTGAAAACAGCTATTTTGAATTGTAATAACATTTCACAATATTACTGTTTTTAATCCTATTTTATTGAAATAAATGCAGCCTTGGTGAGCATTTGGCCATAACACTCACCAATGTCTTTATTCATGGCCGTGGCGAGTTCTGACACAGTCATGCTCTGTTTGATCTCCACCTCCTGCTTCTGTTGTTTCTCTAGTTTCACTGGTTTGGAGTTGATCTTCTGACCTTTGAATTGGCCCTTATTCTACAGCAGGACAAACAAAGCACATTCAGCTCAGCACACGCACACAAGGCATTCAAACTATTCTGATAAGCATTAGCGAAGGGTTTGACATTTTGAGACTGGCCTGTTTTGCAGCCAGGTGTCGGATCTGCAGACATGTGTAAGGAGGTCCAGGGGCCCAGGCAGGCGGAGGGGGAAAATGTGGGCTCCCATGATGCCAACAGGACACTGCAGTCCTGCCAATCAAGGCTGCTATCCGCTTCATTGTAGATTTTCTCATTTAAAAAAAAAAAATAATAATTTAAGCTACAGTTTATATACAGATAATGGGCAAATACTGCGTTAATCCAGGACAAACAATACACATACAGCACAATTTAGAAGACAAATTACTTTAAAATGACAGCTGAGAGGTATCATGAATACCAATATTTAAATAGCTTGTTTTATGCAAATGTTTTGATTTGACACAAATTAACCTATTACTAAAAATATTTATGTACTGTCATACCAGTGATGGTATCAAATGGTAATACCATGATAATTTAATAAATGCAATGGCACTGAATGATTACTGTATGTCCCTGTTGAAAAAAAACAGCATATGCTGGTTAGGTATGTTTTGAACCAGCAAAGGACCATCTTAAACCAGCAAAGGACCATCTTAAACCAGCAAAGGACCATCTTAAACCAGCACCCCAGCGTCAGAACATACCTAACCAGCATATGCTGGTTTTTTCAACAGGGGTGTCATTGTATTTTCATGGTACTCCAGCCAATTCGAAGAACACCATGGTATTACCATGGTACATGCCAAAAGACTTTGTATTACCACAGTATATGTTCATATAAAATGGTATTACAATGATAAATGTCATAAATAATCATAAAACACACGCTAATACCAAGACACTTTTCGTATCTTTACATACATCTATAAAGCTGACATTACGTTACAGTACGTTATATTACATTACAGCAGATTAACAGCATGATTATTTCCCTTCATGTGACGCTTTCTACTTACTAAATAAGAGGAAGTGCACTCAACACAGCCACCGCGGAATTCATTCAGTATACAGACTTTGAAAGCAGAGGTGTGAAGAAAAAATCAACTTAGGCAAATAATATCTAAAGTCAGATGTCATTTCTGTTGTATGGGCGCCGCCATGACAGTGTATCCCACAATGTATTGCGCAGAATGCAGTTCAAAACACAAACACGCGGTGGCGACATAATCACAAAGTCCATGGAGCTCTATTGCGATATAGAAATTGAACAAGTCAAATTAACACGCTCAGACATATTTGGGTAAAATGCCCAATACACTATTTATACTTGTATTTTTAACTAACCATATGTACATGCATATCTTTTCTATTGTGTACATGCGTAATGTCTAGTTGTATATCTTCTGTGTACAGGAAGCGTCACAAAGCTCGTTTGTGCAAGCACACTATTAATGTACTTTTTGCTTGCTTTTTACGTATTTTATGAAACATTATTTTTCAAATTGTTGGAAAATGTCTAAATATGAAGGCTACGAATACCAAAGCGCGTGGTACCTGTTACTTTTCTCAGCCCTTGTCAGGATGAACCAATCACAGTTGTTTGCGCTTAGTGGAGGAAAACATTGTTGATTGCTGGGCTGGGTTTCTGTTTGTACTTAAGATACAATTAATATTTTAAATTAATACCTTTAAACGATTACCTTTTAGTGTTCAAATGTCTCCTATATGTCAGAAAACGTCCTGACATTTAAATGAATGAAAATTTCAACTTACTGGGCCACCAAAGTCATCAAAAACCACATTGTCTATATTAGCGAGGCTTTATTAATCAAAATCGTAGTCTTTTTATTTATATTTCACACCTGCTTACAAATAGGAAACATGAGCACAACCAGCACAACAAACAAACAGGTTTTATTACGTTAGAAGGAAAGCATGATGAAGCTTAAGCAAGATACACAGGTACTCTGAAATATTAACTGGTTTTTAACAAACACAAGGTGCATTTTAGCTAAAAAATACTGCTCCTCTATACTGCAAAAAAGGAAAAATACTTTAATATACGGTAGACAGAACAAATGAACCACAGCAGTTTTGATGCTACATGCTCAAAGGGACACTTGTATTTAATTTACATTTTTTACATTTAACCTTCATGCATGGAATTTGGAAAAAAAACAAAACAACAAAAACTTGGGATCAGTTACCACATATATAAGTTATAATGCAACAGTTATAATGCAAACAATAAAGATTAGGAGACAAAATATGGAGTGATAGGGGAAAAAATATACATGTGTCAACCAAGAAAAACTAAGGACCGTAGTTGAGGATTGTTCAAGGACGAGGATTGTTTCTTGGCTTCCTGACTGATTATGCCTGAATTCACCTCAGAGATGGCATATTCATAGTGCATAGTTACCTTTCATGTGGTCAGAATAAGATGTTCGTATTTATATGATTCTGGTATGATTTCAGTAAAGGGGTTTACGTGGAACCTTTTCTAACTGGTATCATTTCAACTTCACTCACTGAAAATTGTGTTTGTGAAGACCGAATCAATGGTGAATGGTGAATCAAAAAGCTGTTCTGGTTTGTGGTCTTCCTCTTCCAAGTCAGGGCTTTCTTTTAATACCTCATCACTGGGGTCGGGCTGAGGTTCAGTACCGTTCTTACTCGACACCGCTCCCGTTGACTTCACTGACATAGTGCTATGGACACTGGCACGTCGACTGTTGCCCTCTGACGTTGAGATGACACAGCTGGCGCGGGGCAGAGTGGACAGAGCCTGGCCTGTTTTAGGGCTTCGCATTGGCGTGGCAAAGCAGTTCAAACACCCCGATACGGAGGAGGACTTCCCCTGTGTCTCAAGAGCAGGTTTAGACTCAGACTCTGTACTTTGCACACTCTGAGTTTTGTACAATCCAATGCTTGCTTTGTCCAGCTTTTGGGCTGAACGTTCTCCAGCAGATTTTCCACTGCTGGTTCTGCGTACACCACTCCCTGAGGAGCTGTATCCCTGCCTGAGATCCTCGTGGTTGGGTCGGGCTGGGGAAGGGGAGTCACTGAATCGTTGCCGGCTGGACGAGAGTGGATCCGGAAGGGGGCTGCTATCACTGGACCAGGCCTCGTTCTCCAGGCTTATGCTGAACTCGCCACTGCTCGCGCTTGGGGCACGACTCGATTTGCCATTCAGGCCTGGTGAAAATGTCAATTAGAGGAAGTTTAAAGGACAAGTTCACTTCCAGAATGACAGTTTCCTGATCATTTACTCTCCCCCATGTCATCCTTTCTTTCTTCAGTCGAAAATAAAGTTTTTTGAGGAAAACATTTTTCTCTATATAGTGGACTTCAATGGCGGCCAATGGGTTGAAGGTCCAAATTGCAGTTTCAGTGCAGCTTCAAAGGGCTCCACACAATCCCAGCTGAGGAATAAGGGTCTTATCTAGTGAAATGATCAGTCACGTTCTAAGATTTTTTTTTTGCATTTTTAACCACAAATGCTTGTCTTGCACTAGCTCGACTTCATGCATTATGTAATCATGCACGTGTGAGGTATAGGCGGAAGTTCCGACCAGTGTTTACATAGGGAACGTGCAAAGAAAGTCAAACGCCCTTTACAAAAAATAAGCAAAACGACAATGCTGGACAATTTTGTAGTTGGAGGAGAAAATGAGAGGAGTTTTTCGCCTTACCCTACCTTTTTGAACCAAAGTACACAGAAGAACTAACCACGCATGAACTTTCCAGCGTGATTACACAATGCGTAAAGATGCGCATCGCAGAGCTGGTGCAAGATGAGCATTTGTGGTTAAAAAGAATATAAATTTGTATTTTTCTTAGAAAATGACCAATCGTTTCGCTAGATAAGACCCTTATTCCTCAGCTGGGATCGCGTAGAGCCCTTTAAAGCTGCACTGAAACTGCAATTTAGACCTTCAACCCGTTGGCCACCATTGAAGTCCACTATATGGAGAAAATTCCTGGAATGTTTTCCTAAAAAAAACAAAAACTAATTTCTTTGCGACTGAAGAAAGAAAAACTTGGATCAGAGAGCATCTTGGATGACATGAGGGTGAGTAAATTATCAGGAAATATTCATTCTGGAAGTGAACTTCTCCTTTAAGTTCATGCATCACTCTGAAAGTGTAGTCTACCAACAAATTCTTACCATTATCTTGGCCTTCGGTGCCATTTGCAAGCCTTGGTGGAATTGTGTCTCCTTGAAAATCTTTACCTGAAAGGAAAAGAATGTGTAAACAGGTAGTTAGATAACCTAGATATACATTGTATTCCAGTTATTCTTTAAGACAGACGTATCAAAGGTGGATAATTAATAAGACACTTATTTTGCAAAGCACCAAAGCAGTGAAATGATGCTTGCCCATGGGAAAGTTGTGGCCGCAATACAAAGTTATGGGGTGGCAGAATGTTTCTTTGTGGTTGTTAAGGTGAGTGGCTTTTAGGATGTTGTCAGGGCATTTCTATGCAGTTGCTAAAGGTGCATCTCAATTGTGCACTCTTCTGTGTCCTACAAGGTTGAGTGTGCAAGTACATAGTATATAAGCGCATAGGGTAAAGGGTGTCATTTGGGACACAACTTTAGTGTTTCTTAACGTGTTGTTATTGTGTTCTGGATTGCCAAGGTGTTGCTATGCAGTGTTCTGAGTGTTTTTTATCCTACAGTATATTGCTTTATAGTTGCTAGCTTTCTGGGTTGTCAAAATGTTTCTTTGCAGCTGTTTAGAATGGTTGTTGGCATGTTTCTATGGTGCTTTGGATAGTAGGATCCAAAAAATAGGACAGATAAACTGAATAATGTGCATTTTGACCTAGTACCTTGATTACAGATTACTGTATGATTGTCTATAGAAGAGTAGTGATGAAATGATGATGATGATGTGGAGTGTTTTTTTGAAATGGCAATGGCGTGCTGCATTATTTGCTCTTCTGGCTGATCTTCCTGCTTCCCAGAGTCCTCATCCAAACATCCCTCTGACTGCAGCAGGTCATTCATGGCTGAGATGGAACATGACAAGACATGAAGATGACATGAGATGAGTTTTATGGGGCTCAAAGGCGAGGCAGCATTTGTCTTGAGGGAGTTCAAGCATTTATCTTGCATTATCATTTTCTCTTCACTGAAGAATAAAAGGCATTGATTTACTTCTAAAATGATACAAATTTAAGTTTTTATATATTTAAGCTCTAATGGCTGATGATTATTAATCTTATCATGTATTCAAATAAAAAGCACTGAAAGCGAAGGCACAGCTGTTACAGGATAGGCAGGATGTGAGGTCTTACACAGAGATCGGCGGAAGAGAGACTTGACTTTGTCTTTATCCTTTGGTTTGTTACGCTTAACATGAAACATTTTCAGGGTGCTGACTTGATCACCACAATGGAAAATGTGAAGCGAGGGAGGAAAAACATGACAATAAGAAAGTTTGTGAACGTTGTCATAGTGAAAGAAGGAAATTGTTTTGAAGGAAAGAACATGAAAAATCACAAAACGACACGCATACATCACTCATCTTTTTTGCTACCTACTTGGAATTTTAAGACATTTTGCTAAATTCTATGACATGTATTTCTTGTTTTAAAGAGGCCATTTCATTTAAAAAAAAAAGAATATATTATTAAATATGATTTGTTTTTGTTTAGTTTTTTTTATTTAAAACCCATTGACTTGCATGGTTTGATTGAATTTCTGAGTTCTGAAAATTAAAGTACAGTATGTTTTCAAAAAGCTCTTTTATCTCAAGCAACACTTGATTCCTCCTGATATGACCCCTTTAAAAACATAAGAAATATTGGTTATACTTTTTAAGGTGTCCTCGTTAAGAGTGTAATTATACATTTAAGTACCGAGTAATATGTAGGACTAGGGTTTGGCTTAGGGTTACTTGTATGTAATTATGCATACTTTAATAATAATAATAATAAGTACATGTAACGTGTAACAAGGACACCTTAAAATAAAGTGTTACTGAAATATCATGTGGGGGAAAAATGGAGGACCAAAAAAGATAACAGACTCACAGACTTCACATAAATCAGGAAACATAGGTCAAATAAATGTTTATTTTGAAGAACTGAACTCTTCTTTTAGTTTTCTGTGGCAGGTTTGCTTAGGGCAGAATTTGAGGAGTTTTCTAATCAGCAGAGGTGATTTGTGGGGTGATTTACTATGGTATCTATCCTTTGCTTGGCTGCTCCATGTCAGTCGTCTGCCACAAATTGTTCCGTTCTCCTTAAGTTCATGCTCTTGTTAATTCACTGCACAAAACAAATATTGGTCAGCACACACCATGTTTATCTGCAAGTCAGCCCATATTTATTGTCGTCTGGGTTATGTTTTTTGACCTTGCATTTAGTTTTCGAGGATAAGGGAATATTAAGGAAACTTGCCCATGTTGGCATCTACGTAATTTGATTGGCTTCAACCAAGCAGCAGATAAATTTGTGCTAAATTTCTATAGTCTGGATGCACAGACATTGATGTCAACAACTAAAGATATGGGAATTGTTTTGTCTTCCCTTTAATAATTTATTTGTTGTGTTATCCTAACTATGCAGAAATAACTGTGAGAACCACTGCTTTGCAGATTTTTCAGAATATTAATAAGATGTCTTTAACTGATTCCTATGCTGCGTAGACAGAACAAATGTCTCTCACATATATTGTCTCTGCTCCACATGGAACAAGTCCTTGCTCTCCATGGTCTGATCTAGCAGGGTTCGGTTCTGCAGCATCAGGCTCTGGATCTGGTCCAGCAAGTGTCGGTTCTCTTCCTCCAAGTTTGCCTTCAGCTGGGTCAGCAACTGAACGGAAGCACAAAAGTAGGTGATTCATCATGAACTTACAGTATTTAATCAGTAGTTTTGTTAGAAATGCAACAAAGTTCAAATGGCAAGACTTTGTCCCGTTTCTACCAGTATTAACCAGCATGGATGATGACATGATCTGCAGGTGTGTAAAAGATGGAAGTAAAACCTTCCAAGAACATTCTGCTCTGATTGACTGCTACGCACCTCACACTGGTTGGTCAGTTTAATGCAGGTGATTTCCAGCTGCTGGTTCTGCTGCTTGAGTTTGGACAGCTCTGACTCCAGCTGTGTCTGCTCCAGTTTGCAGGAGTTCAACTGGCTCTTTATGCTCTTGTGCTCAACTTGAAGTTCCTCATTCTCTGCCAACAGCTTCTGGTAGGTTTGATTCAGCCTGGGAGGAGGATAAAGCACAGTGTTTTTAAAGATGTGAAACCCTTTTTTCTATTCATATATTATATAATCTAATATTTATATTTATATATTAAGGTAATTATATTACTGTAGATTAACACTAGCTGTAAAATAGAATGTTTACACTGAAAATCCTCGACGTACATTGGTGTTTCCTGTCAAAAATGACTGCCCTTTTAACAATTGCTTGTGAATCTCTCATTATGCTATATGTGACCCTAGACCACAAAACCAGTCATAAGGGTCAATTTTTTTACATTGAGATTTATACACCCTCTAAGCTGAATAAATAACTTTCCATTGATGTATGGTTTGTTATGATAGGACAATATTTGGCCGAGGTACAACTATTTGAAAATCTGGAATCTGATGGTGCCAAAAAATCAAAATATTGAGAAAATCGACTTTAAAGTTGTCCAAATGAAGTTCTTAGCAATGCATATTACCGGTACTAATCAAAAATTAAGTTTGGATATATTTACAGTAGGAAATTGACAAAATATCTTTATGGAACATGATCTTTACTTAATATCCTAATGATTTTTGGCATAAAAGAAAAATCTATAATTTTGACCCATACAATGTATTTTTGGCTATTGCTACAAATATACCCCAGCGACTTAAGACTGCTTTTGTGCTCCAGGGTCACATATCACCAAATCTTGGATTCAATCTTTTTGTCAACTTGTTTTCTTTCAATCATTACAGGTTTTGTGATTCTTTTTGGAACTGACTGAAGAGCTTATGCACCTCTTTTTTTTTTTTTTTTGAGTATAAAAAATAAAAAAAGCATTATTTGTGGATAACTCTGGCAATGTTCACTCAAAAATGGATGTGCATAAGCTCAGATCAATGAGGCCTACAATCAATCAGTTCCAAAAAGAAATAGTAAAACAAGTTGATAAAAAGACTGAATTCAATATTTGATAATAATATAGCATGATAAAAGATTTCTAAGCAATATTTTGTAGACTAGTAATTTTTTTTACTGGTAACACCAGTAACAGTACTGGTAACGGAAAAAAATCACAAAAATTATCCCATTTTAGGAGGGAAATTGTTATAACCTGTGTAAGCAAAGTTAGTAAGTTTTAGTCCAATGCTATAACATTAACTAGCATTTTAGGGAAAAAGAAAATCCTCTGCAGGTCATGACCATGAGGGTTAAAACATAATCGAGTCCCTTTACCCTCAGTGTGACAGCTGTTTTCTGTACTGTACACCAAGGAATCAAACAAACCTATTTGAACGCACACAACACTGACCAGTCTTTCTCATCTCGGAGTCTTTGGCACTCTGCTGTTGTGCTCCTGCTTGTGCATATCTCATTCTGCATCTTCTGCTGTTCTTCTCTGAGAGCTCTCTCTAACCCCTCCAGCTGAGCGCGCTGCTGAAGTAGCTTGTTATACCTGGAATCAGGCCGACATGAACAGTGTCATGGTTTAATAGTGCTTGTCTAAAGCAGCACATATATATATATATAACTCATATGTGGTATTTTATCTCTACACAGAACTTGGAATCATCATTTTGAAAAAACTAATCTTATGGTGTATGTACTAACCTGTCCTCCAGTGATCGGTGCTCTATCTCCAGGGTTCGGTGACTGTTCTCCATCGTGGAGTACCTGTGAGAGAGCACCTCCATCTCTGCTGCCTGTCTCTCATGCAGGACGCTCAGTCTCTCGTGGTCCCGGAGAAGAAGCTCATTAACGGTGCGCAGATCTTCTCTCTCCCGTATCGCGCCCTCCCTCTCAGCCTCCGAACTCTGCCATTTCCGCTGTAGCTGTGCATTATGAGTCATCAGAGAGGAATTCTGGGAAGTTACAGTGGACTTCTCTACCTAAGAGAAAATGAGGATTCATTAGAAAGAAAGAAATTAACACTTTTATTTAACGCAGCATGAAATCGATCAAAAAGTGTCATTTAAAATGTTACAAAAGATTTATTTTTCAAATGAATGCCGTTCTTTTTATCAAGAATCCTAAAAACTAAAGTTAGCATGGTTTCCACAAAAGTATTAAAGAGCCCAGCTGTTTTCAACATTGATAATAATAATAATTTTAATTTGTCTTTGAGGGATCAAATGACACTGAAGATTGGAATAACAGCAGCTGAACAACTTACATTTTAAAATATATTAAAATAGGAAACAGTTATTTAATAATATTTCACAATATTTGTCTTCTACTGTATTTTTGATCAAATAAATGCAGCATTAGTGAACCTAAGGAACTTTCTCTAACCACACCCAAACTTTTGAACGGTAGTGCATATGCAACTTTTAGCATATTTTACAATACCTATATGTGCAATATTAGCAGTGCAATTAAGGCAATAGCTTTTAGTTTAATGTGACTTACCTGCAGTTGTGCATTGTGTGTCTGCAGTGCTGTGTTGCTTTCCTGCAACGAAGCCGTCTGCTGCTGTAACGCAATTATTTGTGCCTGCAACCCATCTGACTGCACCTGCAATGTCTGCAGTTGTGTTTGCAATGACTGTTTCTCAGCCTGCAAAGTTGCATTCTGCATAAGAAAAACCAAAGGCATATATATCAACTAGTACACATAACACAGCTTAAATTATGAAGATGCTTAGCAGGAATAAAACATTAGTTCATGCTTAAATCCCCCCTTAAGTATTTAAACAGATTGTGGACACTGGCTCCTTCATGAGACTCACATTTCTCTCCACCTCAATGAGTCGGTCCTTGAGCTTAAGCAATGCCCACGTGGCCTCCTGACTCTCTCGGTGCCATGTCCACTCTGTTGGAGAACATTGTCCTGCCTTTTCCTCCTCATCTCTCTGAAGCAATGCCTCATAGTTCTGTTTGACCTGCAAAAAATCATATATATGAAGACATTTATATATATGATATGATTTATATATATGAAGACAGTTGCTTTGGATAAAAATGAAAAAAGCCTTGCTTTGGCTTTTTTGCTTTTTGTTTTAGTGAAACATGAGTTTGGTAGACTGTTTTGGTCTTTCCCCATTCAAGTATGACTACCAAGTAAACTATCTTGCTTTGGACTTGGCTTCTACTCACAGTTTTAAGATCCTGTCGCAGTTGCTGGTTTATCTTGGCCGATTCTTGCAGACGGGCCTCGAGGGCAGCCATTCTCTCTTTCTTAATCTTCAGGGATTTCATTAGAGAAGACTCCAGCTCTGACTCCAACTGCTTACACTGACTGAGACTTGGAGAGAGAGTGACGGAGACAAAGACAAAGGTGGTCATTCGACATTTCTATGGAATCTGGCATTTAAAAGTATCACCTTGGGCTTCACTGAATGTATAAGTGAATGTCTGCATACCTCTGGTCTCCAGCCTCGTGGTCTCCCATTTGTGTCTCCTGGTTTAACCTCATCCTCTCTAGTTCATAAGCCAATTTTTCAAGATCAGATTCTTTCTGTTGCAATTTCAACCTCTGGTCCAGCAGCTCCTGGAGCGGAAAACAGTGATTTTGAGAAAAATAAGAGAATATTGAGATGTAATCTACAAAGCATTCGCTTTAGTGGTAACCTCTCTTAATGTCATCATCATCCTCTTGTCCACTCCAGTCTGTTGAATCAGCTCCTGGTTTTCCATCTCAATCTCTTTGTTCTTAGCACAGGATTCACTAAGAAAGTTAATCTTTTTAACCAGGGCACGGTTCTCCTTCTCAAGAACCACCAACTTCAGGTTGCTACTATCCAATGAGGCCTCCTGGATCTTCACTTGCTGCCGCAATCTCCGATTCTCCTTCACCAGACAACTCTTATCTTGCTCCAGTTGTCCATTCTCATGCACTAGACCTTGGTTTACTATGTCTACTTGTCCTTGGTTTTGGTAAATATTGACTTGAGGCCTCTGGTTCTCAGTCTCCAATTCATGGAGCTCTACTTCAAGGCAATGAAGATTGCCATTAGTACTTTCCAAAGATGCATGCAGGTGTTCTGTGTCAAGGGACTGATTGCTGGTCTTAATGATAATTCGGTCGTTGTGCATGTTGGCAAATGCTGGAGTAGATTTTTGAATCTTAGAGTCTATTATGTCCATCATCCCATTTTCCTCAATATGTTTAGATTCAGAGATGAACTCATCCAATGAATGACTGGTTCCTTGAAGTTCTTTCAGGGTCTTCAACAACCTCTGGTTCTCTTTCTCCAGTTTTAGCAACCTGCTACATGTCTTTTCAGTTACCTCTTGGCCCAAAGACTTCAGCTCTACAACCATAGACACATTTTAGGTTTATTCAAGTTTACAGTTTTTGCAAGCTACTGTATGCTTCTATGTTAATAGCAAGATCTTGGTTTCAAAAAGCAAAGTTTGGATTAACATAGGGTCTTATTCAATGGCACAATGGTCCACGAGCTTCACATTTTTAAGATGCCTTGTCAAATTGCCAATGCTAATGTTTAGATATACCTGAATTCTGTTGAGGGTTCTTGGCAAGTTCTAGCTCCCAGCCCAAACGTTGTGATTCTTCCATACTCCTTTTCTGAGAGAGCTCCAGGATGACGTTCCTTTCCAGCAGCTCCTCTATTCGTCTTCTGTCCACAGTTCTTTCCTAAAACACATTAGACAACCGAGTCAAGCAGATAAAAATAATAATTTGGAATGGAAAGAACAGAAAATGGTACATATTGTGGCAGATCATTTTCATGGAAATCATCACCTCTTCCATGTCATGAAGTTTTGATTCTAGTAGGAGGTTGTGTTTCTCCAGCTGGTGCAGTTTGTCAGATCGTGCTTTGACGCTCTGCAGCTCTTCCTCCAGCATGGCCTTACTTTCCATCAACACCTGATTATCCTCCTTCAGCTCCTGTCAACGGCAAAAAGAAAGTTAAGGTGAGATTTCTCACTCATGCACATATACTAGAAGCTTGGGGACAGTAAGATTTTATCAGCAAAACTTTAAATAAATGCTCTTTTTTAGAACTTTACATTCATCAAAGAATTCAGATTTTTCAAATAATTATATTTTTAAGCAGCAAATCAGCATATTAGAATGATTTCTGAAGGATGATGTGATACTGATAACTGGAGTAATGGCTGAAAATTCAGCTTTGCTATCACAGGAATAAATTACATAATTTTTTACACCAATTTATTTTAAATTTTAATACTTAACCGTATTAACATTTTCACCGTTTTTGTTCAGATAACTGCAGACTTGGTGAACCGAAATGACTTTGTTCAAAAACATTAAAAAAAAAATTCTTACCAACCCCAAACTTCTGAATGGTACTGTATGCACACATAAACATTGATCTATACACACCTCCAGTTTGACTTTATAAAAGTTCATGTTGTGAAGTTTATCTCGGTAGCGAGCCACTTCACCCTCCAGTTTGTCTGCTCTGATGGCTCTTTCTTTCATTGCATCCAGCTCATCACGGTACATCCTGGCTGCTCGTGCATCTGTCAACAGCTGCATGTTCTGACCACGGACAAAAGTAGACAGCATAGAAAGAGCAAGGAAGAAAAAACAACCTTTAAAATAAAATCCTTAGCCATTTCTAAACAAATATAGCACAGCTGAACTGTACATTACTTTATCTTTTGAAAGTTAAAGTTCTGAAGTTGTGCATGTAGCAAAATATAAATTGCAACAAAAGTGAAAGTTCATTGTTGGAGCTTTAGATCAGACATTTTAAAAGATTTTCTTTTTAGTACCTCTTGCTGAAGTCTTTTAAGCTCTGCCTCCACATTGTCCAGGTCCTGCCTGCAGTCTAAGAGCTGTTCACTTTTCTCCTCTCTGTTGTGACACAGGAAACAGATGTTTGGAAGATTTAAAGATTCAATACTCACACAGGTTCAGAGGAGTGATTAACATGCAATCACTTAATCAGAGAAGAACAAGTAAGTACAGTTTACTAGCTACACAAAAATCTGAAAGTTATTTTTAAATCATTGTGATCTGTTTTCTGAATAGTGCTGTGTTTTTGTAAGATTACGACAAAATTCAATTGCATTTTTCACATGACATCAGTATATATCATATTTATAAAAATATTAAATAATGTTTTAAATCCATATTTTATGTTATTGTAAAGTTACACCAAAAAGTTAGTATAATCACCTAAAAATTATTGTATCACTGATTTTCCAAACTCAGTTATTTCATAATTCAGTATGCCTAGAAATTTCACTGCAAAAGATGTTTTATCCCCAAATGAAACTGACTTTTGACTAAAAACTGAAGTCTACTTCCTATAAATGTTGATTGCGAAAGCTGTACTGTTTTTGTTCAGACATTAACACTCAATTGCTGCTCGAGAATATACTCCAATATAGAAGTTCAAGAATGCAGCAGTGTGAGCAGTACTGTACAGTGAGTTTGTGGATGGATGGAAAAAATTGATGGATAGAAGGCTGGATGGGTCGAAACGAGGGGGGTTGACTGTCTGTAGCATTACACTAAGAGGATCAAAGTGGGTCAGCAGAATAAAAACGGACCCTGCACTGTGCCAGGGTCTATTTAATCTGGGGCAAGCTTCCTACAGACATTTTACCGTAAACCAGAGAACCAGCTATTAAAGATTAATCAGTGAAGCTTTATTTATTATCAAATAAGTAAATCAATGAAAAATAAGATAATGTACAAGATTACATTTATTTGCACTCTGGTGTAGTGCAAGTGATTAGAATGTTGATGTAATATGAGATATATTGTTTTGGACACTGGAAACCAATATTATAAGCTTTCAATATTAATTTAAAAATGAAAAAATATATATAATAAAAATTCGCAATCATTAATGTTGACGAATGCAGATATGGCTGCCAATATATTGTCTATCACTAACAGTTATAGACCCCAGGAAATGTCTTGATAAGTGCAGTTGTTGACATATTTCCTTTTGAAACAGGAAGCCACAGTCATGAACCATGATTTTCTGCTTGTTAAAATGATTGCAATCATAGACCCATATAAACAGTTTGATCATACATCATATCTGTGCATGTGTAGGTCATTTTAGTGTGTGCACATTTGCTCACAGCTCCTGTCTGAGGCGTTTGATCTTGGCTTTAGCATCCGTCAGCTCTAGTGCCAGATGCTGCTGGGATAAAGGGAGCCGGCTGCTGGCGGACTCTGTGAGGGAGGAGTCATCACCAAACACTACAGACTTTATCGTCTCTTTCCCCTGCATCAGCTCCACGATGGCCTACCAGCAGAGAAAGCGAGAGAGGGGTCAGACAAGAGAATCAATTAGTTAGCCAACTGAACTGTTTTGGCTTCACCCAATAGACATTTAAAGTCGAATGCATTGGCTGTTTATCATTTTATGCACCGGCTAATATTTATTTTCCTTCATACTGCAGCCAAGCACAATAAACCTTTTTGAAACTGAATGATCATCTCCTAGAAAAGTGGGGAAGAGAATGAATTTCGAAATTTCTAAATGACTTTTGAAGATACCTCAAATTGCTGGTCTCGCTGGTCCACTAACATTTTGAGGTTAATGCTCATACTTCTGCAGAGATTTTCCCATTCCTCTGGACACAGACCCTCCATCTCCAACCAATGCAGATCAAACACATTCTCCTGACATTGAGTCACCTGGAAGTGCAAAAACATGTCTCTATCAGCATTTTGTATATCTTTATAAAAGTACAACATTTTTGTGTCATCTACCAACTGCTCAATTCAAAACACCTCCTGGCAAGAAAGTACATAATCGATAATAGACATAGTTACATGCTGCTGACAATCTGCAAATAATAATCTTGTTAAGTTATTAAGACACTCATTATGCCTGTAGGTGGCTTCTTTCAGGCAGACATGATTTTAATCAGTTCTCCCTGAGAAGTCCGATCAAATATAATTACTACATGACTATACAGATAGTCAGCCAGCCCATATGTGTCATATTTGCAAAGCAATTATGTCTCTTGTAGTCTATTCCAGTACCTCTTGGATATGAGCTGCGATTGCTGCTTTTGTGTCAAAATGAAGACTTTGTATCTTCTCGATATACTCCTCTTTTCTTTCACACTGAAAACAGCAACAGACAGTTTTAGGTCTGCATATTAGAAGTGCCACGTTTTCATTTTGATGAAAATGCACAACGAAAAAAAAAGAAAAGTTAAATGAATTGTCAAGAAGCTATGTGCACACAGTAACATATTACCTGCACTGCACAGCCAAGCAACAGTAAACACACATTAAAGGACCAATGCAGAGGTAATTCAAGAAGTTAGATTACACAGCACTCACTAAAAGATTTATTAGTCCTTCTTAAAAAGCCACATAACCAGACAACCACAGTGTTTGAGAGCATTCATTATTACAGAGCATTTCAGCTTAAATCAGTATGACAATGTGAACAGTATTATTACTGTAATTATTAAACAGCATTATTTAATAATGTCTCCTTGTGGAAGGCAGATGTCCCAGAATGTCCAGGGCTTTTCAATGTGTAAGTTATGCTAAGACAAATCGACAAGGGTATGGGTGGGCTTACTTTGCCTGTCCCTTTTGCATATGGGAATTCGTTAATGCCGATTCTTCTTGGGCAAAATCGTTTTCAGTTTTGCTGAATAAGCTAGATCAGTGATTGAATGCTCTGAATTTCCTCAGGCTAACAAAACTCAAGGGAAGATATAGTCAATTCCGAAGATTCAAGATGCTGAGCACAAACAACTGTCACACGTTTTTACATTAACTTAAAGGGGTCATATGATGTTGCTAAAAAGAACATTATTTTGTGTATTTGGTGTAATGAAATGTGTTTATGCGGTTTAAGGTTCAAAAAACACATTATTTTCCACATACTGTACATTATTGTTTCTCCTCTATGCCTTTCTGAAACGCGTCGATTTTTACAAAGCTCATCGGTCTGAAAAGCGAGGTGTGCTCTGATTGGCCAGCGATCTAGTGCGTTGTGATTGGCCGAATACCTCAAGCGTGTGACGGAAATGTTACACCCCTCACCATACCGTGATGCCGTCAGGCCGGAGCGACGAGACAAAAACATTAAAACCCATTATAAATGAGGCATTTGTTGCATCCAGTGGGGACATAACTACGGATTATAATGTCTT